TTTCTTTTTTCATTCCTTTATTTTTATTTTGTTTTTATTTATTCAATTGTTATATTTTTACTTGTAGGTTATTTCACTATTATTTCATTTCAGGTTTATTTTTGCTTAATATAATTGTTATTTTCAGCTATTCATTTTTAATTATTCTTTTTTAGTTGTTTCAGGGATTTCAAATCATTTCATATAGTAGACAATGGAAGTCCGAACTAGTGAAATTCGCCTTAGATTCAACCGTGCAGGGCTTTTTCGCCTCTGGTTTTAGTGAATCATCACTAGAGCACAAACGTTTGCTGACCTGCTCGTGGGGGGACGTGCTCTTTCATTCAAAAATAAACAAACAGCAACAAAGTAATGATTTTATTTAAATTGGTCCTTACTTGCAACAAATATATTAATACTTTTCGTTTGTTCAGTCTTCTTAGGTAAAAAGAAATAAATAAAAATAAAAGCCACAACGCTCACGCCAAAAAACAGGCAAAAGCCGACTCCTACGTTGTACCGACTGATCAGCACCTGAAAAACCTTGGTGACGATCAGCGCCAGCATGGAATGGAACATAACGAAAAAGTGCGTAATTGCTATACGACACTCTTTCGGGAAGAGATCCCCGATAAGCGTAACGGGCAAACTGCCCAAACCGACAGTATGCGTGACTATATATACAAACATCACAGGAACGGAGCTGTAGCTCCAGTAAGTCTCGTTTAGCCGGAAGAAGATGACGCATACCTTCGCTGCCGTCAGAAAAATAACGCTGAGACTAGAAAGGAGTAATACTTTGCGCTTGTCGAACCTGGGCGCGAAATACAAGCCCAAACAGGTGGCGACGAAGAACGTTGCGGCGTAGGCAATAGCCAGGAACGGAGCGTGCGGGCAGCGCGAGCGATCGAACATGATCTGCGCGTAGGTCAAAGTAGCTGGCGCTCCGCTCCACTGCTGACAAAAAACTAAGAACGCGAATATCAGGAACTGTCTACACAACGCTCCGTCGCGGATAATCTCCCACAAACCGAACTCCTTCTTCTTCTGCAGGCCCAAATCCCTGACGATCTTATTAACCCCCTCTGACGTGTTAGTGCTGGGTCTGAGGAAGGAGATTAGCTTTCCCGCCTGCTTGGCTTTCACCAGGTTCACCGGAGTCGATGGTAGGAGCATCAACAGGAAGAACACGACTATAGATGTCATCAGGGCGATGAAGGACGTCTGCCCGAAGTCGAGGAACGGACCGAAGGAGAAAACGGCTACCATTGCCGCGCAGACGTACAGGTTGATCTGTTTCGTGAGCGTGGTCGCTAGGCCATCGTCGCAGAGCTCGCTGATGTAGATCTTCAGTTGTCCGACACCATAACCATTTCCGAAGCCTACTAGAAGTCTGCTGCCGAGGAGCCAGTAAATGTCTCTCGCTTGCCACATCAGGAACCAGCCCAAGGTCATGAAGGTTATGCCTGCACAGGAAAAAATACGAGATTATTTTTACTGCTGTCGTTATAGAACCTTGTGATGGACGAATTACTAAGTCTTCTGGGCCATATACAGGGTGTTCCTTAAACACATGCTAATATTCAAGGAGCTAATTCTCAGACCCATTTTAAGGAAAAAACGTCCTATGGACGTATGTCCTAATCGCCTTAACTTTTGAGATACAGGGTGGCAAAGTTTTCAAAAATAATCAGTTTTTTGATAATAACTGAGATAATTTTGTAGACATCTTTGGCATATTTGGTACATATGTTCCATGCCTCAAGGCGCATTTTCTAATGTACAATTTTCTTAATTTTCTCTGCCAGTGGCGTACGTACGAGTTTTGAAATGTATATTTTTGGCGAAAAAAATACTACGCCACTGCTTTATCTTGAA